AGTCATAAGTAGGAGAGTGAAAGCACTTGTGTTAGTCTGGGACATGCGCAGGGCATAGCAGCATTCAAGAGTTTACTTATGGGAGAACAAAAAGTGGCTCCAGGATGATGCCCCACGCCTGCAGAGCAGCCCAAGGTGTAACCTCCCTCCATCGACCAAGTCACCCAGAGCTTCTTAGCATGCCAGGGCTGGAAAAAAAAATACTGTTTATAAGGGTATAAGGCCTTTAAAACTCTTACTGAGACTTGGGCTCCTGAGGTTTCAGCACACTCCAGCATCAGCCATGCAAGTCATAATTACACTGTCCCTGGATATTAATTATTCTGAAAAACATTTCTAAAACCCCAAAGATCTACAAGCCACCAAGAGACCAATTTGTGTTGTTTCCACCGGCGTTGCCACCCAAGTGTAAGAATTAGTGTTTTGAAACAAACATGTTTGGAAACACAACTTCTCCTGAATGTTTATGGGGAGTATTTTTAACACGAGGACCCAGGAGCTCTGCCGTCAGGGGCACCGTGTCTGCTCGGACGCAATCAGAAATTCAAGTGGGAAATTGCTCCAGAGGGTGTACGCTAGAAAATGCACGGAAAGGAGCGGAGTCCTTACCTGTCCTTTTGTGCTGAGTGTGATCAGGGCTTAGCGTTGACGTGACTTGCTCTCGTGTCCATGGAACAGGGTCAGATCCTGCCTCCTGCATGGGGAAAAGAGGGGACATGCCTTTGGTCTTCTTGCACCAAGAGATGCTCCAAGAAGCAACGGCAGAAACCAGACAACCAGAGATGAGCGTGTGAGTGGGGACAGGGTAGGAGGGCTGGTGGTGTTGACTTGCAAATTGGCAATTTTTGAGAATTTGCAAAAAAAACTTGCAGATTGAGAGAAGGTGAGGGTGGGACATGCAGGAGTTTGGGCTCCAGGTAGGGAGAGGAAACCATAGGGAGCACCAGTGAGACCTGTGCAATGGTAGACAGGGAGGAGAAGGGATTTGTCCCCCACCCAAACACCGGCACAGGTTGCTCAGGGTGGTCATGGAGTGTCCATCTGCGGAGATATTAAAACACAACTGGACACAGTTCTGGACAGCCTGCTGTAGATGATCCAGATGATACCTCACATCCCACCAGACATCAGGGTGCTCAAGACCATACAACGTCCAGGTCTAGCAAACTGCTGTGAGCCAGCTGACACCTTGAGCATCTCCGTCCTGTCCCCAGGGAAGCCAGTGATGACATTTTAAAGCCGGAGCAGCTTACTCCTGAGTGTGTGGGTGTTTCACAGAATTGGGTGGTTTCATAAAACCATCATTGCCAAGTTTAACAAAACTGCAGTCCCTCAATTGTTGACCTGTAACACATTTTTCCTTCAATTTATTTGAGAATAAGCAGAGGTTAGATAATCCCAGCATCATCTGTAGTGGGTGTATCTGAAGCTACCTGTAATCAAAAGTTAAATTATAACTGACAAGACAACACCACGGCTCAAACGGTTTATAATCAGGAATGAGTTCCTCCTTCGTGTCACACATGAGACATTTTATCACCTCTTCTCCTGGAGGAATATCAGCACTAAACGTTCAGGTGACTAAAGGCAGGGGAGATTTTTCTCATCCATAGTCTAAGCTCAGGAAACCACAGTTATGTGGGGTTTGTCTGCTTGGAAACGCCGCTGGTGTCCCCATTAGTCCTTGGAGGAAGATGTGGACTGCGGGGTAACATCCACAGCAGCAAGGTGATGGAGGTGTGACCCTCACACCGAAACCTCAACAAGTGTCGCGAGCACTTGGAGGCCATCAAGGACACAAAGTCCACTCAGGAGGAACTTTGCACAACTCCACCATATTACTGTTTCTGGCTGTGATGGCTTTTGGTCAGGACATGACTGGAGAATGGCGGGGGGGGGAGATATTAATGAAAATACACTCACGCATGCAAACCACCCACTGCAGTGAAACTTTATTTCAGAAACTCTGTTTAAAAACTCCCTGGCCCAATCTGGCATGAATCCCATCTCACACTTTACACATCCAACCAAACTGGGATGCATCTTTGTGTCCTCAGGTACCCAAAAGGATCTCAGCCTCTTGCCAAGCCCCAGTGATGCCCTGCTGACCCCGTCTCCCCCAGTCTGAGGACTCAGCCCCAGGTCATTGCACCCAAGGAACTGGTCCATAAACCCCATCTATATTCTGGCTTGACTTCTCCTCCCAGGGGTCATCCTGGACAAAATGGCTTTGAGGACACATTCCCGGAGCACCGTTGGATCCCACCACCCAGCAGACCTCTCCAGATCTTTCATTTATCAAAGACGCAACTGCAATTTGGAGGAATAATTGGGTCTGAGCAACGGAAATGAGACTGGTTTGAGTTTTTGTTATGTATCTAGATGCTCCTGAGATGCAGGTGGGTGCGTTATTCACGAATTGCAAATATTGTAATCCAATCTGTATTTTTCTGTAAGGTGTCCAACGATGTATTCTGCACCACAGAAACCTGAGTGCATCAGGACTTACTTATACAGGACAGGATTTAAGGCTTTCTAATTGCCATCCAACAGCTTTCAATTAAGATGGTTAGGGGACAGTGGAGATATTTATGTAAGCATCTGGAGCAAGAGGATATTTGTCTGGGAGGACATTTGGAGAAGGAGCTCCGTTTAGCAGTTACAAATTACCCCTCCAAGGGAACGTCTCCCTCCATTGACTATGGAGCCAGGTGGCAATGTCTTCTCATGCCCCATGTCTGGATTTCCTAGTCCTCATTTTTCCCCTTGGCCTCAGCCACACTTGACAAAGCCTCCAAAAGCAGAAGCTGTGAGGTTTAGAGGTGATGGCCTCAGGGCAAGGAGATGGGCTGCTCACAGAAGCAGCCCAGGGATGGCTCAAGTAGCCACCTGGTTGTCCATGTAAAGGGGTTGTATGTTGGCCAACATACCTAGAGGTACCTAAGCATGGTGCACAGAGCAGTCCTGAGCTCCTGTCCAAGGTGGAATTAAGAACCAGAGGCCAACATGCAGGGATGGCACCCAACAAAACTCCCAAGCAGCCAGAGGTACTGCCCCATGCATGTTGTCTTTGCCATTGCCCACTTCTACACCACCTGGGCCATGTACTGGACTGGACCTGAAAACGCTGGAGAAAGGAGATGGAGCTAGAACAGATAGAGGTCGGGATGCTTCGTGGTTGCGTTTGCGTTTGCGTTTGGGCTGTGCCCACATTTGGGAGAGATGCTGCTGCTCCTCTGCCTTGGCCATGCACCACACCTTCGGTGGATGCCTTGGGTGGTGTAGAGGGGGAGATGGAGACTACCACACCCTGCAGAGAACAACCCAGGCATTGGAAAGGAAACGACAAAGGAAAGGCAAATATTGACTCATGGGAAGCTCCTCCAGACTGGGGAAGAAAAGACCGGTCTTCTCCCAGTGTTTCTCCACCAGCCTCAGCACAGCAGCCCACTCCCATCACACAACAAACCTTGGGTGGTGCAAACTCTTCCTTGGCTGCTCTTGACTATGGAAATCCGTTGTACGATCTCCACCTGCTGTGAACTGTGGTGTGCAACGAGGGGATTCAAAACAGTTGAGATGCTCTATCGGGAAAATAATGTGTGGGTGTCCCAGCTCAAGGCAAGAAAACATGATGGAGAGCACCTCTGGGGAGCATGAAGAGCATCTCTGGGGAGCATCGCTGGGTGGAGAGCATCGCTGGGTAGGGAGCATGGAGAGCATCTCTGGGGAGCATCGCTGGGTGGGGAGCATGGAGAGCATCTCTGGGGAGCATCGCTGGGTGGGGAGCATGGAGAGCATCTCTGGGGAGCATCGCTGGGTGAGGAGGACGAAGAACATCTCGGGGGAGCATCACTGGGTAGGGAGCATGGAGAGCATCTCTGGGGAGCATCGCTGGGTGGGGAGCATGGAGAGCATCTCTGGGGAGCATCGCTGGGTAGGGAGCATGGAGAGCATCTCTGGGGAGCATTGCTGGGTAGGGAGCACGAAGAACATCTTTGGGGAGAATCACTGGGTAAGGAGGATGAAGAACATCTCTGGGGAGCATTGCTGGGTGAGGAGCAGGGCAGAACGTCCAAATATGTAGTATCAGTAGTGGCTTTGCCGGTTGATTTATTGCAGGAATTCTGCACTTGCCACTAAGGAGAATATGAAGGAAGGGGAAGCGCTTGTTGTAACTTCAACATGCAGGTGAGTTATTGTTGCTACTATGCTGTTAGCATGATAATATTTTTCAGACTAATTAATTGTTTCATTTTTATTTACTTTTTTCTCCTGGGGTCCAGGATGGAAAAATATGATTGTAATACATGTCAACAGGCTCCAAAGAATGAGATTGTGATTTACTGTGTCTGAAAACAACTTCAAATCAATGCTAATTTTAAGGACATTAATGCTGGCAATTTTAATTCAGCACAATGCATTATGTTGGGATTTTTAATAGCATGGCACGGTTTATATAAATTACATCCTCGAAGCTTACCAGTTTTGAAAAAATAATAACAAGAAAGAGAAAGAGAGAAGGGTAGATTAGATGAGAGGTAGAGAGTAAACAAAATATCAATTGTATTTAAATCTCAGTGGGGCACAAAATCTATTTATTTGTAATATTAAATGGATCTGTCCTCTACGGTTATGGAGATGACTTTCTGGGTGAAAGGTAAAACTCTCTGAAAATTACCAGAGATTTAATAATGTTAGGAAACTGCATGAGACCAGACATTACTCTCAACTGCTCGTGGCCAAATGCAAAACATTTCCAAGAGAGCTTTACTGGCCCTCTGTTAAACTGGGCTAAGGAAAACAAGAAAAGGCATAAAAACTTAATTAAGCTTCATTTCTCCTTCTTTTTTTTAGCACAAATCTAATGAAAACAAGGGTGGTTTTTCTTCTGAACATTATCTTAGTTTTGATTTACCCAAAGTTAGAGAAAATAAATAAATTCCAAATGAATTTGTGCCTGTGAAAGTGCAGCAGCTGTTTCGTGGCTCGAATAGAAGATGCTGGAAGTTTCCAAACTGCTGCTTTATTTTGCCACAACCACCACCATCCCCAAAATGCTGGCGATGTTTCTGGCCAACGCTAAAACCATCTCATTTTGTGGCTGTTTCCTGCAGATGTACGGTTTTCACGGGTTGACGGTAACCGAAGCACTTCTCCTGGTGGTCATGGCTTACGATCACTACGAAGCCATCTGCAACCCCCTCCGTTACCCAGCCAAGGTGACAAGAAGAGTGAACATCCTGCTGGTGGCAAGCGCCTGGATCACCGCGCTGCTAATACCCGCACCCGTCATCGCGCAGACATCTCGGCTGGTTTACAGGGACATGACCAGGGTCAACCACTGCTTTCGTGACCACCTGGCAGTGGTATAAGCCACGTGCTCTGATTTCAGCGCCGATTTCCAGACCTTCTTGGCGTTCTCCATCGCTATGACAGTGTCGGTCATTCCTCTGGTGCTCGTCACTCTCTTGTACATCCGCACCATCCTCTCCGTACTAAAGATCAACTCCAAAGAAGGATGGGTGAAAGCTTTTTCAACGTGTACTTCCCATCTGCTTGTGGTGGGCACTTCCTGCTCCGCCATCACTGTGGCGTGTGTGTCCTACAGAGTGGACATCCCCATCCATGTCCATGTCATGAGCAACGTTGTCTTCTCTATTTTGACCCCCTCATTAGATCCCATCATTTACACTTTATGGAACAAGGAAGTAAAAACTGCAGTTAAAAACTCCATTTTTCTGAAATTTTATTTATTTGGGTAAAATTTACAGCAGTGTGGATGCTATTTATTATTATTTCAGTCTTCTGGTTGATTAAGACATCATCGCCCTTGGAGTTCTGTTTGGTTCCCCTGAATGGGGGTGTACCCTACGCTAAGGTATTTCAGCCTAGTTCTCTGAAGTTTTTAGCAGACTTGCTGTAATATTTATAATTTTCTAACTTGGTTTCTACCCTTCAGTGACTAAACCGCAGATACACTAAATAAAGCTGTGGATGCACTAAATAAAGCTGAAAATGCCCTAAATAAAGCTGAAAGTGCCCTAAATACATCTGAACTGGAGCAGTACCACGTTTCTTTCCATTTTCCCCTCCACATTGCAGGGTAGAGGATGCGTTATTTTCATTCCTCCATTTCTGAGTTCCAGGGGTAGTAGCAGTTATTTTCCCTACCAAGGGCAGAGGTTACCAC